TCTGCCAATCTGCGCCTATTGGTTGGAGACTCCGAATGCTCTCCAGGTTCCCTGTCAATGTCCTCATGACCTCGCGTCAATCCTTGGGACAACTGGGCTGACGAATCCTCACCAGTTCCATCGTGATCTGGCTCCTCTGTTTGCTCGTCAGTTGGTGGAATCCCCAAAGGTGGCTGGGGTTCACCTTTCTGGAGCACAGCAGAATCACCCGGAAGGATGAACGAATCCGTTTCGACCTTGGATCCTTTTGGATCCCATGGCAATGCACGCAACCCTTGCATCAAATCTCGCTTGACTTGTGATCCCGGCTGAAGTCTCCGAATGCCTCGCACCTTGTACACAGCATTGGAATCCGCCACAAAATGCTGGTCGGATGTGGTGTCACGTCCAAGCCAAATGCCTGAATGCCACGATGGCTCAGACTTAGGCGCAGGCAATCGGAACTGCACAGACTCGGCAATTCGACACAATGCACCTCCATACTTCTTTCCCCATCGTCGTTCAAATGGAGTGAATCCATCAGACCGATGAAGAAACCTGTTTAGAAGCCACATGGAGTGCTTAACAATCCAAGGAAACAATGGCGAATGCACGCTAACCGACATGCCATACCTATGTTGAATGTCAAGCTTCAAAGCACGAATCTGAGCATACAATGTTGCTTGCATGTTGGAAATGGATCCCTGAGCTTGCTTCCAGCCAGTGGGAGCTTCACGGTATGACAATCCACCAATGTCACCCGTGACTGCCTCGACCAAGGCTTTTAATGAAGCTTCAGGGTCGCACTGAACAATCCCAAATGTCCTTCCAATCTCCAACACGAATTTCCTCAACTCTGCTTGCGCATACACAATGCGTCCTTTGGACGGAACAACGCACGCCAATCCCATTCCACTCAGTACATCAGTGGCCGTGAGCAATGTCACCTGTGTGTCACTTTGTGAATCACCCATAAAGGCGTAATCCACCTGAATCACAGGTTGCCGCACCGAAATGGCACGACTCTGGTTTTGCTTGCTCTTCGACCTGACGCAAATCTCACACCATGATCTGAATGGCAGATGAGTCAACTCATGTTCACGAATCTCATCGTCCGTCGGCTGTTTGGGAACGTACAATCCCTTTGGCCGTTGAGCCGACATTTCCGGAATGTCCGGGTTGCTCTCTTCCAAGAATTGCTGAGACTGCCGACGAAAAATCGTCGCGCCTTTGAATGGCTCAGGAAATTCCGTAGCAGCAGCCTCTGGGTCAGCCCAGTGGTCGTGAATCCACTGGAGTCTCCCGTTGAGGAACACAGCCAATGTGTGCCTCTCGTTCCCCAGCAATTCCTTGGAGGGAGCGGCCGAATCGGTCTCATCTGGCACATACAGACAATTCCTCCACTCATGGTGTATCCTAATGTCAAACTTGGGTGTGAGGTACCATTCATCATGTCCGAATGGTCCTCCTGTCTCCGGGTCACTCATGCACAATCGCCGTTCCACAATTTCCTTCGCTTCTTCCAATTCTCCCGTCGTCAGCTCCTTCACTGACCGGGAATAATCATCCTGGCCAATGTCAGCAGACGGTTGCGCTTTCAAATGAGGTTTCTTTGCTGGCACTGACGCTTCCTGAATGGGAGGTCTTGCAATTGTGGATTGCTTCCCCGTCAATCGTCTTGCCGTCGGCAAGGATTGCAACGGGAATTCTGTCCTTCCCATCCAGTACTGATCCAACGCCCGTTGCGGAGAATCTATCGTCCGCCAATTGTCGGCGATGGTCTCCTCACGTCCATCTTCGAATCGGACGTAAGTTGTGCGTCTGGACGCCACATCTTCCACAGGAATGGGCCTGTCCTTGGTGCCACCTGGCGTGAATAACGCACGCCTTGCGCGCTTGTGATGTCGAATCAGCACAGCGCGTTGCGGATCAAGTTCCCAACTGTCGTTGTGGTAAATGGTGGGCTTAAATGTGGGTGCTATGGTCCCTGAAGAATCTGAACCAAACTTGGAATGAAACTCTTGACACACTTCTTCAAATCGGGGTTTGTCAAATGGAAGAATGTTCGGACCTAGGAAAAGCAGTGAGCCTTTTCGGTGAATACTCACTACCTTACCATTGGGCATAAACAATCCCAATGAGTCTGGTCCATCCAATGCTACGCGGAATCCCTGCAGCAGCAATCGTGCAACCGACACAATCGGATAAGGCACGTCACAAACATAAAAATTCATGAAGCAATCTTGTCCATCCAAGTTCAAGCCAACCAATCTTCTCCCATACATGTTCAATGGCTGTCCTGTGACACTCTTCAATGGTGGGCCATTTCCATTTAATGGAAGCAATGGCCATTGTTCACCAAAGTCTGGCGGACAGCAATGGGCAGATGCTCCTGAATCAAATAGAATCCACGGGGTGGAATCCTCGACTGCTGAAATCAACTGTTCATGCAAGAATGTGTCAACAAACTTCGAATTCAAGTGATCCAAGCCGCAGTCCTTCAAGGTGGTCACGAAATGAAAAGAATCCTTCACTGGGGTTGGTTCATCATACCAATCTAACAAGTCTTGTCCGGGAACAGGGGCAATCAATCCGGCACTCAAACATGGCATGCTATCCAATCCAGTGTCCAAGCAATACATCGACTTAAACAATCTTTCATGCTCTCCAAATGTCATCCAACTTTCACCTTCACCCTCAGACGGACTGCCACGAGTGGCAGGAATCTGAAAGGATGATCCTGAGGTGACCGAATTCATGACAAGTGCAGCAATCAAAAATGATGAGGCCTTTGGCTTGGCCTTTGGCCGAATGGGAGTTGAGCCAATGTTTGGACTCAATCCCGGCGGCACCTGTGTCACTGCTCCAATGGTTCCTTGCTGTGAATCTCCTGCTGGGGGTGGTCCTGCCGATGAAAACGCGGCAGAATCGCATCCAGCAGGAGGCTCTGGAATCTGACTGTCCTGAAACCAATCCCAAGGGTGGTCCCAAGAGTTCACAGAATCCCATGATCCCCAAGACGAATCCCAGGACCAATCTTCTCCTTCATCCCAACTCAATCCAGCAATGTCCCATGAGCCATCAGGCCACGACGAATCAGGCCAGGGCTCTTCGGACCATTCTTCATTCCAATCTTCCTCAATCACTCCGCTCACAGCTCTCTGCGGACATGTTCTGGAAATGTGGCCGCGAGAGCCGCAAATCCAGCAGGTTGCAATCGACCCTTTTCCTTTTCCTTTGGAATCCTTTCCTTTTCCTTTTGGGTCCTTTCCTTTGCCTTTGCCTTTGAAATCCTTTCCTTTTCCTTTTCCTTTGCTGAATGCTCCTTTGTTGTATGACCAATGTGGTCCTTTGGCTCCTTTGAATCCTTTGAATCCTTTGCCTTTGCCTTTTCCTTTGAATCCTTTCAGCGCCCCAATGTCCATGGGTGCTGGTCCTTGGTTGTCATTCCCCGGCATGTTCCTAAGAATGTGCCTGGAATGGTGGTACTGCACAATCACGTTTCGTGTTTGTTCATAGGTCAACAATGCCGAAGCATTGAGCCTCAAATGCTGTTGCAATGGGCCTGTTGTCTTGTTCAAGAGGGTAGCCACCAGAATGCTATCAGGAATGGCTTGGCCGGTTTGAGATTCATATCTGGCCTTAATGGTCTCCCAGGTGTTGAAATCTTGTTCAAATGTATTGGAGTGAAACTTGAATTCCAAAATCTGGCTAAGTAAACTCATGTGCCGTGTTGCGTCCGGCAATGCAAATTTGGAATACAATCTCCTCCAGGTTTCATAACCATTGCAGCCAATGTTCTGCCTGACTACCAGCCTTGCTGAATCACTGCACAAATTTGCTAACAAATAATGCAGCCTTCGGGAATTCTGAATCCTTCTGTCTGTGGCATCCTGGTTACCCGCTACATTCAAATGCGCGTCCTCAATGGGTGTGTCTGCGTTGGCCTCAATGCGGTCCATAATCGTTGTTGAATCTGGCAGGAACATGCTCAAATATGTCCTGAAATCCCAGCTCCAATCTTCCCAGTCCTCTGGCTTGCCAGTGAATTTCCCTGGCATGGGAAGTCTTAGCTTTCCTGCAAAATCCTCATCTTGTCCGAGTGCCATGGCAGCTCTCAGAATCAGGTTTCCCTAAGGTCTCCTGAATCTTCGAGCTCCGCTACCATGGGAAAATCAGAGACTAATCTCTGCTAATCAACCAAGGCAGCAAATGCACCTTTGTCATCTTGAGCCATGCAATGGTAATCAGTATGAATTACATCCAAGTGGGAATGCATGGTGTACTTTCGCACAACCAACCAACCAACCAACCGACCGACCGACCGACCGACCAACCCAACCAGGGGGCCCAGCCCTAGTTTAAAAAGAAACTACCCTAGGAAAAAACACCGGATCCGGCATTCTGGTTCAGGCAAAAAAGCATGAGGCACTTGAGGCAGTGCCTGAAAAAGATAAAGACCTTGCCCAATCACCATTCAAAATAGACACGGGTCGAAAACAAAAGTCCCACACACACACACACACACACACACACACACACACACACACACACACACACACACACACACACCCAGATCAGGTAGCGACAGGCAAGGATCAACTGATTGAGCTTAATGGCAACCGAATCCCGAGGCCCCTCTGAGAGCCCTCACTTTGATGAGGATTATGTTCAATCTGGTGGGAATTTGGGGATTCCCTGTGAGGCTAAACTGCTGCCTGGGCTTCGGAAGGCCTTGAAATGGGTGGGTTGTCTCTCTCTCATCCCTCGCCGACCAAAGTACGACGAATCCTTTCCCATGCTTCAAGAGGAAACGGTGTTGGTTCTTGCCCAAAAATCTGGACTGAAGTCTTCCGATAGTCTACTAGGACTCTCAGTTGCCCAAAGCACCCAGAAATTAAAGCTTAACCTTTTGGGGCCAGGACTACAAATGGACCTGAAAGGAGAAACCAAGAGGTCAAAAGGTCGATTCGCTTTGGGCAAGCGATATGGATCTCCATATCTCTCCGATTCGATTCCGCCTCCCGCACGCGGATCTTCTCGCCGGCGCAGTGGGTACAGGCGCCCCACTCGTCCCAGTCCTCCCACTCGCAGTCCTGAAGCGAGAGGCGAACCGGTGCTTCGCATTGGTCAAGACTCGGTTGCTGAATCTGCTCCCCTGCTAAAAGTGACTAACTTTTAGTGGTTTAGTGGAAGACCCATTTGTTGTCAAAAAGTTAAAGTCCCAACCTCAAAGCAAAATGCACCAAAGAAGACTCTTCACATGAGTGTGGCTCAAAGAAACGTACCAAAATGGCACCTTGGTAAATGGAACCAAAGACTAGAAGCTGCGTATCCCTAGCTCTTTAATTTTGACCCACACCCACATGGAGCCATGGTCAAGACTCCGCCGATTGGGTCAGCGCCGCACACTACCATCAACAGAGCCTGTGGCGTGGCAGTCAATGCCGCTTCAGCTCAACGGCAAGGTCTCAAAGTTGGTCTGGGCCCTCCGAGTGTATTTTTGCAGCAGGTGTTCTGTGACAATGAAAGATGAGACATGTGCGCGGGGTGTCCCCCTGTACAGCAAAGCTCCTTCATGTTCACGATCTGTCCTTTTGGTGTCCTAAAAACCATCCAAAAAGGGTGCCCTCAAAAAGAAAACAGCCCCATCTGCCACCATGTCATTCGCCGCATTCGCCACTGTTCGCTTGAAAATTCGCCACCAACCCCTCGAGCGACCCCAAGAAACCAACACAAATCTTCCCTCAGTGGGCTTCTGGTCTTCTTGAGAAAAAACGAGGGATCCCGGCTCACTCAGGATGTCCTTTCTTCCCCACTTGCGGCTGGTGCTGAAAAAATTAGACTCCGACAAAAAACAAAAAAGAGACGCAAAAACGTGGGTTTTGTTGGTACACCCAGCTTCCACCCCTGGTTTCAAGCACTTCACCACCGAGTTCTTCACCTTCGGCTACCTTCCATTGGCTTCGGCGCTACTTCCGACCCCTCAGAGCTTGGTCCACCCGCGCGCAGACAAACCCCGCGTTGACACCGAAACCGGCAAATGGGTGTCCTTTTAGGGGACATAGATGAGTTTACGCTGGTAGATGAGGAAAAAACCACCAAACAAAAACCAGGAATTGAAACCCATCGATTTTTCGACCAAACCAAAAAGGACTCCTCTGCTCATGACCCCAACCCAAAAAAAACATCCCTGATGTGGATTCTTTTAATGGCCGTGACCTATGGAAACCGGGCACCCCGGCCATGGCCATGCCGCAGCCCGTGTCCCCGCAGCCCTGCACCTGGCGTCTGGATCGATCTGGCGGTCTCGTCTCACGCGCAGCGGAAGGCGGAAAGGTGGGGGGGGGGGGGGAGAAACCCAAGGAAAATAACATCATCTGGACAGGTTTGCAGATTTCCGGAGAGGGGAACCACTGAAAAATCGAAAGCTAGACAGATGTTCCGAAATGTTGCACGATTTCTGAAAAACACCAGAGGACAAATGAAGAATTGATTTTGAGCAGCCTGAATCTTGCAAGGGGACGAAGGAGCACCGCCATATACTGCAACTTAGGGTTGGATTCACTTGCAAGATTCAGAGAACCCACTGGCCTGCCGTACCTCATGAACTCAAGAACATTGGAGCAGGATTCACTCTGAAAAGCCAGGGTTGTTTGATGTGCATCCAAAGACACATGGAAGGGAAGCGTGCAGCTGTTTCGTTTGGATGCCTCCTAAAGTTCATGTTAGTGTAAAGAAGTGTTGATACCGAGTACTTTGACACGGAAGCTTACACAGCTTTACCATGATCTTTGAAGCAAAGAACCTTGCCAATAGTGTGTCATCTCCAAGCCATGTCGATGTGATGTGACTGTTGGACTCCCCTTTGCAGGCCTGGCCGCTGGACCACTCGACGTTTGCCACAATAATGTTGGCGCGCAAGCATCCCGACAAACGAAGTGGATGTGTTGGCCCATCATTTTCACTTCCAGACAGGCCCTCTTTATTACGAGAAGAGAGTGACTCTGATTTGATGTTTCATCTGGTGCGCAGAATGAGCATTTTTTCTCATACACTGCCAGGGCTGGAAGTGTAACTGCCAGAAAACCAAGAAGGTTCTCTTCCTCCAGTGCCTTTAATGGATCCACTAGTATAGAACTAGCCTGGCGTGCTCGCCGGCAACCTTGCCGCAACCAAGAAATGCAAGTATTTTGCTTTGTCCTTCTCTCTTGCTTTCGCTCTCGCACTCTCTCTCTCTCTCTCTATATATATAAATATAGATATACACATATATATGATATGATATGTATATCTATTTCTGGGTTTCTCGTTTGTTGTCTTCGTTTTTTCGTTTTTTCTTTCTTTCTTTGATTATTTATTTAGTTATTTCTTTATTTCTTTATTTCTTTATTTCTTCCTTTCTTTCTTTCTTTCTTTCTGTCTGTCTGTCTGTCTGTCTGTTTTTCTGTTTTTCTGTCTGTCTGTCGGTCTGTCTTTCTTTCTTTCTTTCTTGCTTTCTTTCCTTCTTTCTTTATTTCTGTTCTGTTCTGTTGTTCTTTTCTTTTCTTTTGTGTTCTTTCTTTTCTTTCTGTCTTGTTTTCTTTCTGTCTTTTCTTTCTTTCTTTCTGCCTGCCTGCCTGTCTGTCTCTGTCACTGCCTCCCCTTCTCTCTTGCTCCGCCATAGAGGCAGCATGTTCTTTCTACAGAGCCAGATGGACCACTTTCTTGCACACATGAAGCAGATGCTGGTTTTTCGGATTCCGTGGGCCTCCTCGAGGTCGTCCTCGCATGGCGCACCGCCCAACCTGGGTCATGTCGAGTTCGCTGGTACAACCAAAAAACCCAAGCCACTCACTTGCGGGGGGTTTTCGGGAACGTGTTCCTCGCCACCATGGAGGCCTTTGTTCAGAGATACCTGTCATGGGAAAACTTCGCACACTCGCGCGCGCAACCCAATGGGTCCCAAGCCCCTGCCACATCTCCAACGGCTCGACAGCTTGTCAGCGGCTCGGCTGGCTCGGGGCTCCGGACTTGGCAGGCCGCAGCACACCCCGCGTCCGCTTCTGGTGGCCACCACCACAGCTTGCCGAACACACCGACCTCAAACTGCAAGGCTGAAACACCTTTCCCCGGAGCGGCGCAGCAGAACAACAGGCTGACTTAGCTAGTTGCCGGCGTTGCACTTTCTCTGGCCATGCCATGTAGGACTACGCTTTTGCAACCCTAACTACAAAGGTGCCGGACTGGCGCTGACCCGCGTTTTTGTCTTTCAATCTTTTTGGGGCGGGCGCCCAAGAACACACGCTCGGCGCTGCGCGCGCGCCTGCCAATTCATAATACGCACGCCCGCTCAAGAGCACATGCCTGCCAAGCGATAAGCACACCTGCTCAAGATCACGCGGTCAGCGCTGCAGACAAGCCTGCAAAATGATAAGCACGCCCGCAAGAGAGCCTACGCTCAGCACTGTTCACATGCCTACCAAGCGCTAAGCACGCCGCTCAAGAGAACACGCTTGGCGCTGCACACACGCACACACACACACACATGCCTGCCACATGGGTCAGGGGCGCAGGCTCAGCACAGCACACGCCCGCCAAGTGAGAAGCACGCGCAGTCAACAGCACGCTCCCAGAGGCACAAGCTCAACACTGCGCACATGCCCCAGAGCACAGGCTCAGCTTGGCACACACGCTTGCCAAATCAGAAGCACACCTGCTCAAGAGCACCCGCTACGCGGGGCTAAGCACTGCACGCGCCTGCGGAATGATCAGCGCACCCGCTGCTTATGTCTGACTAAAAAACGCGGGTCATCACCAGTCCGGCGCCAAACTATTCGCGCCCCATTGAAACCACCAAACCTCAACGCAAGCCGTTTGCAAACAGGTCCAGCTGCAGAACAGTCGCGCAAAACGCGTCTGCGGCTTTGCGCCCGTGGGTTTAGACTGGGCTCGAAGGCCAACACTAGGCGTGCCCAATGTAAGAAAAAGGAAACATTTTTGGTGGGAGTGCTTCGGGGGGTTGGTCACAAACCGCCCAACGTGAGGCATGCGTCGCGCAGGCGAAGGAAGCATCCGCGGTTTTTTCTTGCAGAAGCAAAAAAGGGTGGCCTTGACTTTCCCCTAACTAAAAGAAAGAAGGGGCTCCCTACAAAAGACTTCACTCCATTCCGAGCGCCCGGGCCAAATGGACCAGGTGCCAACAAGGCAGTCCTGAACTTCTCCAAAGCCGCACGCCTCGCACAAAAAATATGGCGACTAAAATCTGCAGAGCCCTAGCTCTTTGATTTTCAGCCACGCTCAGATGGAAGCGCGAGACATGGCCTCTGCGGGAAAGCAGCGACTCACGCACGTGAAAGAAGCAAAGCTTCCCGCGCAAGAGGCTGACAGATTTTGCGGTTGCAGCACGGCGTGAATCAAGTCGCCGCGATGCGCCGGATAATTGAGCAACGCGTTTCAATCAAACAACTCAAGCTGGACTACCACGTATGAGCTTGCAAGCTGGTCTTCCAGCCAGACGCGCTGCAATTCAGAGCCGTCGTTTGAGGCCACCCCACACCAAACTGAACACCGACATATTTTCGTAAATCGAGTCGATAAAGGGAACGCCTGCGTATTCACCCAATTTCCACACGCAAGCCTCACAATCTTTGAGCAGGTTTGTTGGCTGGGCCTGACACGGGCTTGGGGAATTAACGTATTTGCTTTTCTAGGTAAGGTGTGACAAAGATCTGGGTGTGCGGAAAAACAAGCGGCTAAGTTGAAAGAGGAGCACTTTTCGTAACAGACCTATTCAGCAAAACTATGTCAATATAGCGTGTTCGCTCCCTCACACTAAAATGTGCAGAAAGCTGCAGCGGTTGTGGCCTACATTACCCTCAAATGCGTTTCGGAGAGCCGGATCCTCCTGACAGAACGAGACTTGAGGAAGAACTCCGGCGAGCTTGCAACCTTTACTCCAAAACATGGATCCATGTCAAAGAAGGATCCCTGGAGAGGTTACTTTCCGCAAAAAGCCGTCAATCGCAAGACCTGCGCAAAGCAGGTCAAAGAGGTCCACGAAAAAAGTCCAAGGCTTCGAACTTGCAGGAAACATGACTGAAATGTGCGGGGTTCCTGAAACCTTGGCTGTGTATCCTTTGCAGGATGGACGTGGTGCGACAGGTTTGGGACTTTCCACTTCCCAACATCTGAATGGAAATCATGAGTCTCGTCTCAGCTGTACGTGGCAAGCAATTCAACCAGTCCCAGCTGCCAAGAGAAGTGCAGAAACGGCTTTTGCAGGTCCGATCATCTACGTTCGAATGCCAACGTCAAGCTGACACCTCGCGAATCAAGGTGCCCCCTGAATGGTCGCCCGGAAGAGCATTGGCTGTCTGATTCATTTGGCGTGTCACAAGAAACGACTTCGTCCATCTACAAGGAATCTTGACGAAGGGTGCGTTTCAAGGCTAACAGGACCACCCACCACTTGGAAAAAAGCCCGTGTGGGGTTTGATGATCAAAGGTCCATTGGAACCCTCAGAGGAAGCCTTCCGTTGTTTCAGCCATTCACCTCAGATATTTCAGGGAATCGGCCCTGATATGGCTGTGGCCAGTGAACATCAACCAATCCAACCACTCAAATTTAGGTTCTAAAATGGGTGGTGTTTGTCACCTACCAACCAAAAACTTGCTATGTGCTTGAGTCTTGCTCCAAATTTGTGACTCCATGATCCGCTTCCCGAACTCCATGAAGCCATCCTCGTGAGGAGCTCGGTTGGTACCCCTCCCCCCTTCAACAGGGCAATTCAGCATGCGCTTCTGTGCTCACTAGGTCATGCCCCGTTTTTGAACAGAGTTGAGAAGAATTAGCCGTGGCTCTAGAAGAACTCGGTTGCTGAATCTGCTCCCCTGCTGAAAGTTTAACTCTTAGTGGTTTAACGGAAAACCCATTAGTTAGCAAAAAGTTAAAGTCCTTACATCCAAGCAAAATGCAAAGAAAACATCAATCAAATTGTGACAGTGCATGTTCCATGAAGTAAATCGTCATCCGGTAAAAATATCCGTCCAACTCATCGATGTTGGGAATCTGGTCTGCCCGTACGTGGCTCGTGTTGCTCAGAGGAACACAACTTAGGTAAACGACCCCTTTCTGGAGTGGCCGTCTGCACGGATGCAAGTCCCAACACGAATGCAGAATCAACCCCAAAGGCAGCCCCTGTTGATCCTTCAATCCACCTCGTGTCCACAGCGCCTCACTTGCTGTTCTGGTTCGAAGTAAGTCCTCTCCATTCCCAAGAATCTTCGAGGTCAGCCAAGACCCCCCCCCGAATTGAGTCAATGTTGGAGACTCATCGCCCAATCGCAGCTGTCGGGTGAAGCACCCAACACGTGCCAGAGAAAGCACTCGGGTTTTGCACTGCCAGGAGTCTGAAAAAATGCTCATCCCAAATCCCCAAAACTTCCCAGGCTATGAAGCCGCGCATCGCTGGGCTGAGCGCGGCCCTTTGGGAAAATCACTCGCCTTGTCCAAGGCCTCGTCGGATTCCTGCGGAGGAATCAAGAGTCCACAGCAGGTGCCAGCTTTGTCACCAACCCGGAAATCGCTGAGCAAACCCCAGGCGCCAAACAAGGGGCCGTGCTCCCGACGTGCACTTTACGTCTCGGTGGCGCCCTTTACGTCCTTCTGCTTTCCGATTGAAGCCCTTTCCGATCAGCGAGCTAGGCGGATAAGTCGGGGCCCCTCTGGGCAGTTGAGCGGTGGCGAAAATAGGGGTATATAAAACCCTCTATTAGCAAACCGCTTTCGTGGCACCTTTCGCGATGCTTTCGCGGCCACACGTTTCACTTTCGCGGGCATGTGTGTTTTGTAACAATCACTTTCGCGGAGCTGTCGCGGGCAACACAGAAACTGCAAATATGCACTTCCGCGGCGCTTTCGCGGCAGCTTTGGCCGGCTTTCGCACCCTGCGTTTCAGCTTTCGCGAGGCTTCGTTAGGGCCCTCAACTAAGTCCTTTCATAAGAATTGTTGGCGCTGCCCAGTTAACACCTTCCCAACAAATCCTTTGGCCCATGAAAGCCAATTTGAAACTTTCAAGCCCCGACGGAAAGCGCCAGTTTTGACAGTGTGGGGGTGGTCACCTTGCAAGCTGTACCGTCAAAGCGGGTCCCCTGAAATGAAAAAATAAGCCCCAAATTGGAATGTGTGTGTGTGATTGTGTGATTGTGTGTGTGTGTTTTTAGAGGGGCCCCCCAAAATGGGCGGTTCTGCTTTTGGCTGCCTTTAAAATCAGACCAAAGCGGGTACCAACTCCGAAACAGACGAGCCACATGGCTGCCCCTGTAAACCCAGAAGCTCTTTCGCCGCTCTCCTGGGGGCCGTTGCATGGCCGCGACTGCTCCAGTGGCGCCGGCGAGAAATCCGGATTCACACACCTGGCAACCAAGCGCGGAGCAAGAAGCGCCGAGCGGAGTTCTCGCCGGGGTTCAACGAACCCCACCGGGTGGAGAAAAGAACGGTCATTGACCCTCTCGTTACTTCGAAGCTGTCCGACAAAGGGGGATTGGAGGGCATGATTCAGAATCTGAATCAGACCCCCGATATTTACCGATTCAAAACTCCGAACAAAAGATGAATAGACCTTGAGCCCCCCCAAAAAAAAAACACTCGAAAACCCACAAACAACCCCCCCCCCAACAAAAAAAAAGGAAAGAAGAAAAACAGGAGAGAGAAAACGGCGCCAGAAAGGCCAGAAGCCGGCCCCGCTGCCCTGGTGCTCGATCTTCCTCTCCCGCGTCTGCTGGCCTCAGCTGGGCGACCCATGCTCCGGTGCCAAATATCCCATCCAGGAACAAGCCGAAGGAATATGGCCGTGGTTGTCAAAACCCATGGGATCCCATTTTGGTTGGTAGGTGAACTCACCACACATTGTAGAACCTATTTTGGTGTGGATTGGGATGTTCACTGGAATTAAGTAAGGGATTTTGACCCATGGCCATATCTTTGCACCTGGGCACCCCCAAACGTGGATGTCGGCTTTCCGTTCTTTGCCACGGCTTTCCCCTGGAATCCAAGGTGAAGACACCGAGAACACGGCCGGACCCTTTTTAACCCCAACAGGACTCCGGGAAGCCTCCATGAAAAAAAAAGACGAAGAAGCGAACCCATGGCGTGTGGGGTTTTTCTTATTGCAATATGTCCCGCCGTGCCCCCCCAAACCATCCCAAACCTCCGGAAGGCGAGCCCTCCAGCTCGCCATGGGGATACCAAAGCCTATGGAAGCCCCGGCTCCGGTGCCAAGCCCAAAGCCCAGGCCAAGAGGTCCCCAAATCGGTGGGATGGTTCTGCCACGGGTCATTCCAGTTCTTCCCTCAGGCTGTAGGCCCCGGAAAAGTGGAAACCGCCCGTTGGATGGTGAATATATTTGGGGCCCTTCCAAGTTTCGCATGTTCCGCTGCATCTCATCGCGCCGATTGCAAGCTTCGAAGCTCAGGCTCCGGCCATAGCAGCTGGCAGAGCACTCGCCCCACGAGGTCCAAGTGCTCATGGTGCAGTCCCGGTCTTCCTCCAGGCGCGGGAATCCGGCTCTTTCGCCGCCGGGAGAGAATCAGGGGGAGCAACAAACCAAAGCGCAAAACTGCATGCACCTGTCCTGTGGGTTTATGGGGGTGTCTCAAAATGAGGGAATTTCCGGGCGGCTGGTTGCCTTGTTGCTTTCCATTTGAAGCCAGCCAAGGGGTCCATGTCCTATTTTGAGACAGAGCCACCTCATCTCGTACATGCCTTCGGTTGAGGGGACCAAGGAGCCCCAAGCCACGCACTGCGCTCGACAAAAGCTTGGGGATGCGGCCAATGAAGCTCCGAACATCCAACGATCGAATCGTTGGAAGCGTGTCACCCCCAAAATAGAGTGACCCCCAAAATGGTGGTGGTTTCCTTTTTTGGCCTCCCTTCAAAACCAACCTCCAAGTTAGGTTCCCTCCCCCCCCAAACAAAAAAGGACGACGCGCCCACCCAACCTGCGCGTCTTCGATCGAAATCGAAAACCCCACCTCACAGGGCCACTTGTTGCACTGCTTCAGCTCCATGGCCCTCGGAAGGCGAAAAGACGGCCAGGGGGGTCCAAGGGCTCACCCGGCCTCACCTCCCATCGGGTGGATTGGCCGCAAAAAATAACACGGCCCCAAACGGTTCCTTTGAACTCATCACTCAAATGGTTTCAGACCCAAAAAGGTTTAAAGCCCAACTCGGGGAGCGAGATTCCTAGTGTTCTTTGGGAAAATTCGATGGGCTTCTCCGGTAAATGAATGGCATAAAACCCATGTCATCATGTAAACCAGTGGATTCCCTTCTTCTTGAATAGCACCGCGACTTACACCCAGGGGTGTATGGCCCAGGGGGAACCAGTTCCTGAGCAAAATATGTACCCTGGATCCAATTGGATCAACCGTAGGGCTGTCTTTTTTGAGGGTGCCTCTTTTTGTTGTGGTTGACAATAGAGTTTAAAGGAAAACTACCAGTTTTGGGGGGGTCCGCCATTTGATAATGTGACAGGGGTGGCTGCTTCTGTTGCGTTCACAACCCGACCTCATCCTTCTTTGTTGGACCCTGTAACTCAAAAAATGCTGCCGGTCAACGAAAAAGAAGAGGGAGATGTCGGGTCCGCGGCAGCGCCCGAAAGAAACAGCTCCCTGCAGGCGGATGAGATGTTGGACGCCAAGAGCACAACCCCATCCAGCTGGATTCGTTACAATTGGTCTACATCCTTCACAGCCCAAACACGATCCGTTCGCAAAAAGTTATGAACTGCAAGTCCCTCAAGGGCGAAATGATGAAGAGAAGCCGCTGCCAAGAGTCCATAGATATTCCCCGCAGGGCTTAGCTCGAGGGTCACAACCAGGCTGGAGCTAAGATCAGCCTTCCCATAAAGTGACCACAAACAAGTTGTCCCGCTTGCTTTCCTCGCGAAACCACTAAACGTGGGAGTCCCCCGAATCCCTTATTTGAAGATCCCTCCGGTGCATTTGGGAAGCCTGAACCTGCCAAACTCGCTGATGTGCTTGAAGTGGACATCCACATGGTTGCTTTGGGGACCTGTGAATACCACCAACAATACAAGCAAGCCAACCATTGACTATTGCAAACAGGAAAAGCGTGGCTCCTTGAGCGCAATATTTAGAGCGCCAACCAAAAGCAGTTTGCCACAATATCCAAAGCTCCGCATGTTGTTCCGCATGGTTTAAGGTCAAGCGATCTTGGGTTTCTCAAAAATAGGGGGCCCAAAACTGGCTTGCATTCTCTTGATCTCCTTCTAAACTGCGCTGCCCTCAGATCCCCCGCTAAAATTTTGACTGGTCGTGGGTTAAATGGAAACTACCACTAAACACAAAAAGGCTAAAAAGCTAAGGGGATGGCTGGGAGCCACCAAGAAAACCATCCAAAAAGGGCGCCACCTGCTTGCGAACCGCCTATCTTGACTCGCTCGAATCGCCCCTTCCAGCCGGGGCTTGCACGGGCCCACTGCCGGCGTGCCGCAGGAGGAGGCCTGAGCTTTCGGCTCGGTGGTTAAATAAAATGCGATCGATTCGGTACGTCAGATACCCTCTCATCCAAAAACATGGAACCTCCCAGAGGGGGTCCTGGAAGACAATTTTCCTTTACAAGCGACTTGTGGTGGGGTCCATGTTAGTGGACAGGAGCGTAACTGGAAAGTAAGCCTAGCAGACTTACAACCATGGCTTTTGTGGGCAACCCGGCTTACTAACCACATACTGAGTACAATGCCCCTTCAAGTACAGCAAACGTGAGGTGCTTTGGTACGTTGCTTGTTTCAGCTTCTGTCTCTAATTGGTGGTTTGGAGCCCGGAGAGGTTTCCCATTTCCCCCCTGCAAGAACCAACACTTCCATTGCAGAGGGCAAATGGCTGTGGGTGAAAAAAATCGCTACCCAAAATGGAAGGGTAAATGGAAGCATGGAAAAAAACAACCTGCTGCCCGACTCAGCCGCCACCCCGCAAACACCAGAAAGAAACCCCATCCCAAAGCCCATCAGTACTCATCAGCACCCATCAGCCCCCCTCACCTCTTCGGCGACCTTCCGGTGGCGCCAGCTCACTCCGCCGGCGCAGGCCCTGGCCGCTTTTGGGTGACCCCCAGTAGGGCGACCTTCCAATTCCATTCTGAACCCAGCGGATCTGAATCTTTTCAGGAAACCAGCAAAAACCCACAAAAACTGCTGGGTTTTGAAAAGAAGGATAACTGAAAAGAATGGGGAATCAACCCCTAGAAGTGTTGCCCTGTCATCCGCGAGCCAGGTTGTTTTTCTCAAATTTCGGGACCCCTTCTGGCGCTGGGTTCCTTTTTGGTTTCCCCTGTTAGACCATCCAAACGGAAAACCCCCTATCTTGAGAAACACACCCAAATAGTTGATCTCCTCCCTGTGAAGGCAAACGGGTGCTCCTGTCTCTGCAACTCAACCATTGCTTCAGACGAGTTTCTGCTCCTCAAGAGCGCAATCATCGCAGCTCCGCCCGCATGCAATATTGACCGTCGCCGTCTCTCAAGCAATCCCAGAAATAGCGGCCAGTGTTCAGGTTCTTGATGGCACAAATCGCACCCCGCGTCTGAGCTGGTGGCTTGGGGGTCTCAACAGCAGTTGCAGAATGAAATTATATATATATATGTGTATATATATATATATGTGTGGGTATGTAAGTATATATATATATATATACACTACATGTGTGTGTGTGTGTGCATGGTCCACCCGAATGCGCATAGCAGCAAGACGGCTTCATACGCTAGAAGGCAGTTTGGAAATACTCACGTGGGGGGGGGGAAGATTCGACTTTGTTTGGCATGTCCGTCAACCTACAAAATTGCAAAAACCTGAAATCTGAGACGCGAGAGAGAGCAAGAGAAAGACAAAGATAAAGAGAAACAACAGAACTTGGGCCCCATGTCTTTTACTTCAGCAGCCCATCAGCCGCCATTTTTCCGCCACCGGTCCCCCCCCCCTTTTCGCCTGGAGCATTGGCCCCACTCGCCCCAGTCGTGCCACACGCCGTCCTTGCAGCTGGCTGTAGAGCAGGGCCTTGGGCGCACGTGGCGAATCGATCCAACTGGCGGCCAAGTTCCGTGCAGGGCCAAAAGATTTGCTCCAAGGGACCCATGGAAACTGGAAGCCAAAAGATTTGGTCCAGAAAGGTGAAGCCATTCGTCAAGCCAGCAACTTGATTGCGTAACTCAAAGGAACCTGTTCTAGCCAACAAATGAAGTCTATCAAATTTCCCCCTCCCTCGGAGGGAGCCGCCTCGCAGCCAACTTTCGACGCCGGCTGCTTGCTCTGCGCAGCTTTGTGGCAAACCGTTCAAACCCGCAGAGGGTTCGTTCAAACCCGCAGAGGGTTGAACCGCAGTCGCCAAGCACAAGCCTGCTACTACCTGGTACTACCTGGTGCTTTTCTCAGTTCACATGATGAGTGGAATCTAACTAGTATTAGCTTAGTCTTCAGAAGCTAAAACTCAAACTGAAGGCGGCTCCCCGCATCCTTGGAAGGAAACAGCCCAAAGCTTCCTACTGAATTGATGGTGTTCTTGCACTGATGATGTTGACACATTCTTATCTGCCATGATTGAGGAACGGGCAGACAAAGCCAGATGTTGGGAAATCGGGTGAGGCACTTTGTCTTCTGACCCACTCAAGCAGGCTCGACTTTTATCTCAGCCCCGCACTCAGTTCCGCAGCTGGCGATCTCGTTCACACTGCGTGCGAGTAGAGTCGCGTAGGGAATTTGGTGTTTCCCGGCTCCCGCAAAACAAACTTCCAATTATTTTTGTCTCAGGGGTACCACCCCTTCAATATCCAGGAAAGTCAACGCCCATGTTCTCCTGAAAAACTTCCCAAGAGAAGCAATCCTGGCCCATGGCAAACCTCGAAGTATATGGCGTAAACAGTCCCCGCGCTTCCCGCGCTGTTTCTGGAGGGTGAATGGTGAGGGTCCACTACCGTTTCAGCAAGCTTCAAGCCTCGAGCGCTGCGATCTGGCTGTGTGCGTATATCAAGAGAGAGGTATGCATCTGTATGTGTGTGTGTGTCTGTGTGTCTGTGTGTCTGTGTGTCTGTGTGTCTGTATGTCTGTATGTTTGTCTGTCTGTATGTCTGTATGTCTGTATGTCGGTATGTCTGTATGTCTGTATGTCTGTCTGTCTGTCTGTCTGTCCGTCCGTTCGTCTGTCTGTCTGTCTGTCTGTGCACATGTACGTATGTACGTATGTACGTATGTACGTATGTACGTATGTACGTATGTATGCATGTAGGTACGTATGTACGTATGTATGTACGCATGTATGTACGTATTTGTGTATGTGTGTGTATGTACGTATGTACGTATGTATGTACGTATGTACGTATGTATGTACGTATGTGTGTATGTGTGTATGTGTATGTGTGTATGTGTCTATGTGTGTATGTGGGTATACGTGTATGTTTGTATGTGTGTATGTGTGTATCTGCGTATGTGTGTATGTGTGTATGTGTGTATGTGCGTATCTGTGTGTATGTGTGTATGTGTGTATGTGTGTATGTGCGTATGTGTGTATGTGTGTGTGTATGTGTGTACGTGTGTATGTGTTTATGTGTGTAGGAGTGTGTATGAGTGTGTATGTGTGTATGTGTGTATGTGTGTATGTGTATGTGTGTATGTGTGTATGTATGTATGTATGTATGTATGTATGTATGTATGTATGTATGTATGTATGTATGTGTGTATGTATGTATGTATGTATGTATGTGTGTATGTGTGCATGTGTGTGTACGTATGTGTGTATGTATGTATGTATGTATGTATGTATGTGTGTGTATGTATGTGTGTATGTGTGTATGTGTGTATGTGTGTATGTGTGCATGTGTGCATGTGTGTATGTGTGTGTGTATATGTGTGTATGTGTGTATGTGTGTATGTGTGTATGTGTGTGTATGTGTGTATGTGTGTATGTGCGTATGTGTGTGTATGTGTGTGTATGTGTGTGTGTGTGTATGTGTGTACGTGTGTATGTGTTTATGTGTGTAGGAGTGTGTATGAGTGTGTATGTGTGTATGTGTGTATGTGTGTATGTGTATGTGTGTATGTGTGTATGTATGTATGTATGTATGTATGTATGTATGTATGTATGTATGTGTGTATGTATGTATGTATGTATGTATGTGTGTATGTGTGCATATGTGTGCATGTGTGCATGTGTGCATGTGTGTGTGTGTGTACGTATGTATGTATGTATGTATGTATGTATGTGTGTGTGTGTATGTATGTATGTATGTATGTATGTATGTATGTATGTGTGTGTATTCATAGGCACCCTCAGCTCGAAGCAGCCCTCCGCTTCAAGCCGTTTCTGGGGGCAAGGCCAAACCTGGGCTGGGCGTTGGATGGCTGGGCGTTTGGCTTTCGCTCGCGACCAATACAATCCTTCACCAGGATAGTCAAAACTTACATCTGGTGAGTGTCATCCGTTTTCAGGCAGTCTGCAGCCTATTCAGCTCCTTGTACACGATATTGACAATGTTTAACGGTTGGCCTATGGTTCATGTTGAATTCCCAAAGAAAGGAGAAAGGGGCGCCACTGGGCAAGTGGGTTATCATGGCTTTCGCTCGATTTACCCCAGCTCATCGGTGAGCCAAAGATCCGCTACGGGAACCTTTCTACGGAAACCGCGCGGGAAAACCAAGCCGCTCCACCCGACTCCCCGCCCGACTCCGACTGCGAGTCCCGCCTGCTCAAGGCCTTGCAGGCCGCGCCGCCTTGGCTCGGATGCGCTCCCAGCGAAACCAGAAAAATCAAAAAACATCGGCATCTGTTGTGTTCCTCTTTAGTTTATAAATCAGAAAAGGTGAATACTTCGGCAGAAGAAAAAATACTTCGCTTCGAGCAATTCCCACCCTCCACACTCACGAGCTTACGACCGTTACAGCAAATTCCTCCGCATCCTAGAGACTTCGACTCCAATTTCCCATCGGCCCTTTTGGACATTAAGCAAAACCAGACAGGCGAGCTGCTCTGGCGGGATACTGGCGGGATCCACTGGCGAATACTGGCGAGCCGCTCCGGCTCGATACTCGCCGAATTCTTGGCAGGATCCACCGGCGAGGGATACTCAGCGTGATACTCGGCGGGATCCACTGGCGAGCTAGTCTGGGATATTCAGCGGGATACTCCCACTGGCGGGCTGCTCTGGTGGGATACTCGGCGGGATCCACTGGCGAGCTACTCTGGGCGGGATCCACTGGCAAGCTACTCTGGGATACTCAGCAGGATACTCGGCGGGATCCACTGGCGGGCTGCTCTGGTGGGATACTCGGAGGGATACTTGGCGGGATCCACTGGCGAGCCGCTCTGGTGGGATACTTGGCGGGATCCACTGGCGAGCAGCTCTGGTGGGATCCACTGGCCAGCTGCTCTGGCGGGATACTTGGCGGGATCCGCTCTGGCGAGATACTCGGCGGGATCCACTGGCGAGCCACTCTGGCGGGATACTCGGCGGGCACTGGCGAACCGCTCTGGCGGGATTCTCGGCGGGATCCACTGGCGAGGATACTCGTCGAGATCCACTGGCGAGCCGCTCTGGCGGGATACTCGGCGGGATCCACTGGCGAGCCACTCTGGCGGGATACTCGGCGGGATCCACTGACGAGCCGCTCTGGCGGGATACTCGGCGGGATCCACTGGCGAGCAACTCTGGCGGGATACTCGGCGGGATCCACTGGCGAGCCGCTTTGGCGGGATACTCGGCGGGATCCATTGGCGAGCAGCTCTGGCGGGATACTCGCCGGGATCCACTGGCGAGCTGCTCTGGCGATGCTCGGCGGGATCCACTGGCGAGCTGCTATGGCAGGATACTGGGCCCCTGCCTGGGTGGGGGCGTGGTGTAGAAGCATCGCAAACGCGGAGTCCAACATAAAATCTAACAACCCCTTCCTGTCGGGTGGGGGAAAAAAAACAGCTGAGCTTCTGGGTACACTCTCTGGGTGAAGGATCCCATGCCGGCCCGAATCCAGCTGGAAAACGAGCTGAAAGCAGCAACTGGAAAACCAGCGGAAGACTTTGAAGTAAGCTCGCACACAGCTCCCAGCCAACTCTTGCACCAGCATAATTACCAGTATTCAAGAAGCGCTTTGCAGTTGTTCAAAGCAAGAAAGCTGACAGCAAAAGTGCCTTCTAAAGAGACCATATACTCCACTCTGTGTGTGGGAATGTTGTCCGATGTCTGGTGGCGTCCCTTCAAAGCCTATGACAAGGCTCTTTCCCAAGTTGTCAATGGCAACAGAACCCTTGGGCTCCGGACTCTTCGAAGGCTCGTTGAAGATGGTACGGTTGCGACTGGCAGCACAATTCTGCACATTGCATCAACCAGCATGCCCGCAAAAGATGTTATCAATTGCATCTGTGCCCAAAGCAATCTGAAAAAAAGAGTCACGTTAAACATGATAGCTCTGGAAATTATACTGGCGATACACCACACAACGGGGCCACACACAAGACCCAGTTGCAACTCGACGCACAGAGACGGTGTAGTGCATGGAATACGGACCGCAGCGCCCATCAAAAGCGAGGCTGGGTCCGGGGGTCCTATGCACCATACAGTCATACATGCTTGCCCTCACTCTGATGTCCAGGCAAGATTGGAGCACACGAACAAAGACTTGCATCGATCACAAGTGATTCAATCAACAGGGAATCACGAACTGTGGCAGTTTGACCCAGTAGCCCCAACGATAGTCTCAACGCTGGCACTTGGGTATGGTTCACAATGAAAGAGCTACGGATACACAAGTGTTAGTCTTTGTGTCCACTAACCAAGGTGCCACTTTGGGTAGGAATTTTGAGCCACTGCCACTTCATGAATTCATGAAAAGGTACATACAATGTGCTGGCAATGTACTGGCGATACACCACACAACGGGGCCACGCACAAGACCCAGTTGCAACTCGACGCACAGAGGCAGTGTAGTGCATGGAATAGGGACCGCAGCGCCCATCAAAGCGGGGCTGGGTCCGGGGGTCCTATGCACCATACAGTCATACATGCTTGCCCTCACTCATATGCCCGAGCAAGTTTAAAGCACACAAGAGGACTCTCATCTGTCACAAAACGTCCAAATCAACAGGCACATGCTGAATTGTAGCTGTCTATAGCCCAACGGTAGTCTGAACGCTGGCACTTGGGTATGGCTCACAATGAAAGAGCTACGGATACACAAGTGCTAGTCTTTGTGTCCACTAACCAAGGTGCCATTTTGGCTAGGAATTTTGAGCCACTGCCACTTCATGAATTCATGAAAAGGTACATACAATGTACTGGCAATGTACTGGCGATACACCACACAACGGGGCCACGCACAAGACCCAGTTGCAACTCGACGCACAGAGGCAGTGTAGTGCATGGAATAGGGACCGCAGCGCCCATCAAAGCGGGGCTGGGTCCGGGGGTCCTATGCACCATACAGTCATACATGCTTGCCCTCAGGCAAGATTGCAGCATGCAAGCGAAGACTTGCATCCGTCTCCAGCGATTCATATCCACCAGGAAATCATGAACTGTAGCAAGCTTAGCCCAGTGCCCCCAACGTAGTCTCAACGCTGACACTTCAATAGCATGTGCAATCAATTTACTGGCAATGTACTGGCGATACACCACACAACGGGGCCACGCACAAGACCCAGTTGCAACTCGACGCACAGAGACAGTGTAGTGCATGGAATAGGGACCGCAGCGCCCATCAAAGCGAGGCTGGGTCCGGGGGTCCTATGCACCATACAGTCATACATGCTTGCCCTCACCCTGATGCCCAAGCAAGATTGGAGCACACAAACAAAGACTTGAATCGATCACAAGTGATTCAATCAACAAAGAAATCACGAACTGTGGCAATTTGACCCAGTAGCCCCAACGATAGTCTCAACGCTGGCACTTGGGTATGGCTCACAATGAAAGAGCTACGGATACACAAGTGCTAGTCTTTGTGTCCACTAACCAAGGTGCCATTTTGGGTAGGAATTTTGAGCCACTGCCACTTCATGAATTCATGCAAAGGTACATACAATGTACTGGCAATGTACTGGCGATACACCACACAACGGGGTCACGCACAAGACCCAGTTGCAACTCGACGCACAGAGACAGTGTAGTGCATGGAATAGGGACCATAGCGCCCATCAAAGCGGGGCTGGGTCCGGGGGTCCTATGCACGATACAGTCATACATGCTTGCCCTCACTCATATGCCCGAGCAAGTTTAAAGCACACAAGAGGACTCTCATCTGTCACAAAACGTCCAAATCAACAGGCACATGCTGAATTGTAGCTGTCTATAGCCCAACGGTAGTCTGAACGCTGGCACTTGGGTATGGCTCACAATGAAAGAGCTACGGATACACAAGTGTTAGTCTTTGTGTCCACTAACCAAGGTGCCATTTTGGCTAGGAACTTTGAGCCACTGCCACTTCATGAATTCATGCAAAGGTACATACAATGTACTGGCAATGTACTTGCGATACACCACACAACGGGGCCACACACAAGACCCAGTTGCAACTCGACGCACAGAGGCAGTGTAGTGCATGGAATAGGGACCGTAGCGCCCATCAAATCGAGGCTGGGTCCGGGGGTCCTTTGCACCATACAGTCATACATGCTTGCCCTCACTCTGATGCCCAGGCAAGATTGCAGCATGCAAGCGAAGACTTGCATCCGTCTCCAGCGATTCATATCCACCAGGAAATCATGAACTGTAGCAAGCTTAGCCCAGTGCCCCCAACGTAGTCTCAACGCTGACACTTGAATAGCATGTGCAATCAATTTACTGGCAATGTACTGGCGATACACCACACAACGGGGCCACGCACAAGACCCAGTTGCAACTCGACGCACAGAGACAGTGTAGTGCATGGAATAGGGACCGCAGCGCCCATCAAAGCGAGGCTGGGTCCGGGGGTCCTATGCACCATACAGTCATACATGCTTGCCCTCACTCTGATGCCCAAGCAAGATTGGAGCACACGAACAAAGAATTGAATCGATCACAAGTCAATCAACAAAGGAAATCACGAACTGTGGCAAATTGACCCAGTAGCCCCAACGATAGTCTCAACGCTGGCACTTGGGTATGGCTCACAATGAAAGAGCTACGGATACACAAGTGTTAGTCTTTGTGTCCACTAGCCAAAGTGCCATTTTGGCTAGAGCCACTGCCACTTCATGAATTCATGAAAAGGTACATACAATGTACTGGCAAAGTACTGGCGATACACCACACAACGGGGCCACACACAAGACCCAGTTGCAACTTGACGCACAGAGGCAGTGTAGTGCATGGAATAGGGACCGTAGCGCCCATCAAATCGAGGCTGGGTCCGGGGGTCCTATGCACCATACAGTCATACATGCTTGCCCTCACTCTGATGCCCAGGCAAGATTGCAGCATGCAAGCGAAGACTTGCATCCGTCTCCAGCGATTCAAATCCACCAGGAAATCATGAACTGTAGCAAGCTTAGCCCAGTGCCCCCAACGTAGTCTCAACGCTGACACTTCAATAGCATGTGCAATCAATTTACTGGCAATGTACTGGCGATACACCACACAACGGGGCCACGCACAAGACCCAGTTGCAACTCGACGCACAGAGACAGTGTAGTGCATGGAATAGGGACCGCAGCGCCCATCAAAGCGAGGCTGGGTCCGGGGGTCCTATGCACCATACAGTCATACATGCTTGCCCTCACTCTGAGGCCCAAGCAAGATTGAAGCACACGAACAAAAACTTGCATCGATCACAAGTGATTCAATCAACAAAGGAAATCACGAAACTGTGGCAATTTGACCCGGGTAGCCCCAACGATAGTCTCAACGCTGGCACTTGGGTATGGCTCACAATGAAAGAGCTACGGATACACAAGTGTTAGTCTTTGTGTCCACTAACCAAGGTGCCATTTTGGGTAGGAATTTTGAGCCACTGCCACTTCATGAATTCATGCAAAGGTACATACAATGTACTGGCAATGTACTGGCGATACACCACACAACGGGGCCACACACAAGACCCAGTTGCAACTCGACGCACAGAGACAGTGTAGTGCATGGAATAGGGACCGCAGCGCCCATCAAAGCGGGGCTGGGTCCGGGGGTCCTATGCACCATACAGTCATACATGCTTGCCCTCACTCCTATGCCCGAGCAAGTTTAAAGCACACAAGAGGACTCTCATCTGTCACAAAACGTCCAAATCAACAGGCACATACTGAATTGTAGCTGTCTATAGCCCAACGGTAGTCTGAACGCTGGCACTTGGGTATGGCTCACAATGAAAGAGCTGCGGATACACAAGTGTTAGTCTTTGTGTCCACTAACCATTTGGCTAGGAACTTTGAGCCACTGCCACTTCATGAATTCATGAAAAGGTACATACAATGTACTGGCAATGTACTGGCGATACACCACACAACGGGGCCACACACAAGACCCAGTTGCAACTCGACGCACAGAGACAGTGTAGTGCATGGAATAGGGACCGCAGCGCCCATCAAAGCGGGGCTGGGTCCGGGGGTCCTATGCACCATACAGTCATACATGCTTGCCCTCACTCCTATGCCCGAGAAAGTTTAAAGCACACAAGAGGACTCTCATCTGTCACAAAACGTCCAAATCAACAGGCACATGCTGAATTGTAGCTGTCTATAGCCCAACGGTAGTCTGAACGCTGGCACTTGGGTGTGGCTCACAATGAAAGAGCTGCGGATACACAAGTGTTAGTCTTTGTGTCCACTAACCATTTGGCTAGGAACTTTGAGCCACTGCCACTTCATGAATTCATGCAAAGGTACATACAATGTACTGGCAATGTACGGGCGATACACCACACAACGGGGCCACGCACAAGACCCAGTTGCAACTCGACGCACAGAGACAGTGTAGCGCATGGAATAGGGACCGCAGCGCCCATCAAAGCGAGGCTGGGTCCGGGGGTCCTATGCACCATACAGTCATACATGCTTGCCCTCACTCATATGCCCGGGAAAGTTTAAAGCACACAAGAGGACTCTCATCTGTCACAAAACGTCCAAATCAACAGGCATATGCTGAATTGTAGCTGTCTATAGCCCAACGGTAGTCTGAACGCTGGCACTTGGGTATGGCTCACAATGAAAGAGCTGCGGATACACAAGTGTTAGTCTTTGTGTCCACTAGCCAAGGTGCCATTTTGGCTAGGAGTTTTGAGCCACTGCCACTTCATGAATTCATGAAAAGGTACATACAATGTACTGGCAATGTACTGGCGATACACCACACAACGGGGCCACGCACAAGACCCAGTTGCAACTCG